CCTCAACTCTATGCATTGTATTGAATATGTCTGGTTGTACAGCAATGATAAATTATAACCGATAATCATTACAGCTTTTTATCATAATTTTTTAAAACTGTTATTTTAAAATGAAGACAAAGATCGTAGATTGATCCAGAATAAACTTCAGGAGATCTCCGCATGGATTTTTACAAAACTTCTCCTATCTCATTGCTAACATCTAAACGGGTAAACGTAACTAAATATACCGGTAGAAAATAACAAATTATCATAACATTGAAATGTCGATGGAATGATTTGTTATTCCCCGATCTTGACAAGGAGCGTAATCAATTTGACTAACAAGTAAACACAATTAAAAAAACCCACACATACAGATTACCATACAGTCATTCTTTCTGCTGAACAAAATATGTTTACCGCTCAAGGTCACAAACCTTAATTTTTAAAAGCACGTTTTTTTATGATCACATTTTTTTTACATGTATTCAAGTAGTGTAATTATCTAAGGGAAATATGTTTATTATTATTATTTTCTTATTTTCTTATTTGGGGGGGGTGTCCAGGATGTGATCTCCATTGGATTACATGATAAGTTGCATAAAAGCCGAAAGTGTTCATAAATAAAATCATCACGCATGCCAATCGATATATCATCGTCATGAAACAAAAAAAATTACAGTTATATATGTATTCCTTATGTTTATAACTACATGCTCTGGATTCCGAAATTCAAGTACTATACAAGTACTATACTCTCTTTATTTGTCCCCGCCCTACACATGATTTCTTTTTACGGCGTCTTTCAATAACCCAGTAGAATTATTTAAGGAATAAATGTCTAATTTTTCATGATCAATCGATGATCAATCGATCAGCTAGCATTATAATTTGCAATAATTTTGCAATTTGGAAATTGGAATATTTGCACTGAATTCTTATAATTGGTATGCTTGACATGCAGGTATATTAATTAGATTTTAAAAAAAGAGCAATATTAGCATTATAAATGCTTCTTTTAAATACATGTTACATCAAATGCTAATGCTAATTCTGACACAAACCTAAATGAATTCTACAAGGAAATAGAGCTTTAACGGGTTCTTTCTTTCCATAACGTTGAGAGACCTTCAGACACAGAAAAAACACACTTGAAACTAGAAAATGCTAAAGGGAAAACATGTACATGTACTTGTTCAAGTATCGGTTCATCTTATCAAGCATTACTAAGGTCCGTTATATTTATTAGTTTGCTAGGTTTCGTTCATTACTTTTCGCACGTTTATGAATATTTTTTAAAATAATTCTTTCTTTTTGCACTGAAGAAAGGTATTACATTCCGTTGACTAAAAAAACTAAAACAATCATATAATTTAAGACTTTGTGGGGGATTCTGTACGAAATATTTGCAAAAAATACAATAAATAAACATTTGAGTTTGTATGCGCTGCGGTTATTTCGGACTATTTATGTGCATATGTACTATCTAGTATTTGGGAACTTTTTTTTTACTAGGATTGTTTTTTTTTCCCCAACTGATATCAACTACACAAGATATACATCATAATATTTATTTTTCACAATTAAAGGCTAAAAAACAATGATTGATCTGGCATATCAAAAGGTAATCGAAAAGTTTATTCAATGTATTTACATTTTATTGTATTTTTTATGGTTGTCAAATGATTGTTCGGAGGTCACACTATATGCATGGTTAGTAAGACTACATGTACATACGTTGAAGAAGACTCGTAGAAGAAAATATAATACTGTAATACTGAGGTACGTGTATCACAGATTTTTTAATTACTCCTGTAATAATTTAATTTATATTTTAGTACTGTTTTTCAATAATACATGTACAGCCGGCGGACGCTAGTACACTAACTTACAAGTGCGTACGATGTAAAAACAGCATAATCACAATCGGTATCTTTAACTACAATTTATTCTTTGTTTTCAAAATATTTTATGTATTTTTATAGGTCTTTACATAGTTTACTATGTCCAGTGATGGAACTTTAAATAAAAAAATCTCATTCTGTGTAAATTAAGCGTCATTGGCATCGAGTCAAGAACATTGCGTCGGTAGAATATTTTGATCCGTAAGCTAACTTTTGTAAAATTCATATTGATCACAGGTGACAACCAACACTATTTTAATAGTGTACCTAAGATATGTAATTATGAACTTATATGCATAGTACAAAAGTGGTTGTTGCATGTGAAAGGGTCTAATTTCAGCAAAGGTTACTCATTTTCAGCATAATTTAACGATTTTGCACGACCATTCGATGTTTATCGCGTAACAGTGACGTCATAGTTAAAATTACGTCATTTTTGTACCTGTAGAATTTAATTCACATCTAATTTACTTCAATGCACAGCATCAGAAAATGATACAAAGATGATTAAAATATCGTTTTATTTACGACGAATTACAGCGAATACCGTACTTTGTTCTTTGTCAGAACGTACAGCAATGACGAATTATAAAGATTAAACATTATGTCATGATAGTTTGGCAAGTCTAATAGAACTGTTACAAATGAAGACCATATATTGATCCGGCATATATTCCAAGTGATCAGTTTATGCCTCAATTATCAAATTTCACAAAAAAAATCATCCAATCAGTTAAATATTAACATAAAAAAAACAGATAAGGCAGGCAATATGTTTTAAACTGATTCTAATTAGGTCTTGATATGGTTGGAGATTATTTCTGTATCAGTTATCATTTGACCTTGTTTACTGTTCCTTGTCTTTACATAACAAGAACAACAAGGGCTCACAGTACTTCAATTACAAATGATATTTCAAAGAAGCATATTCCACTTTCTTTTGTCTAACATATTTTATTTTGATATAATGAGGAAGTTTTGTAAAGAATACATTTTTTGTGTTTGGGTTAAATGTAGAATTGAAGTTCCTACAAGCAAACAGGGAACATATCATTTTGATCATGATTCATGGAAGTATCTACTTGTTAAACTTTCTGCAAAAAGAAACAATTTATTTAAAGTCAGTTGGCGATGCACCATTTGCCTTCAGGTAAATTCTGCGTCTCTTATAAGCAAGTAATTCTCTCATCCATTTCATCATTTTACGCTGATTTGCAAGATGTTTAGAAAACATGCCACCCATTGATGGTTTTGTTTATGTAGAAATAAGCACACGCTATAGGCTATTTGTTCATTTTTTTTCATATATTTTATAAGTAGTTGATCAAACCTAACTTTGTGTTTCTACAAAAAAAATCTTCAAATCCTGCCACGATTCACTCTGAAGTAGATAAAAAATAAGCATTATGGTGTATAAAATACCATGTTTTACATTATAATAGGGACAAAAATGCCGATCCATTTTGAAAACTGGAGGTGGGTTGGTCCATTTGACAAGAATATGTGATCATCATCGGCAGACGGAAAAATTCACAAACAATTAAGTGTGAAAATAATGACCAAAAAATCAACATTCGGAATAACGAAAGATTATTAGAAAATCATTAAATTAACCTTAAATGTTTCAAAATATTGACTTAAAACGATACTGTTGATTTTTTCGTTATATCAAGTTATTTGTCAAAAGCTATGTTTGTCTTAGAAATTGGAGCTTTTTTTTTCAAATCACATTGGAAACATGGATTCTATGGGCAGTCTGTAATATTGTGTTGCTTTATAAATAAAAGACGATAGAAAATCTGAAGTCATTACGTCTTTTGTTTTTAAGTGATCATGATCATTAGCTTCTTTTTCTAGTAAACTATTCAAACCATGAATCGGACTTTGTAATATCCTTCATTTGAGAAAGAAATTTTTTTTCAGGTAGAAATTCTTTTTAAAAATAAAATCTTCTTCGTATGAATAAAGCATAGGTCTGCATTTTTTATTCATCACTGTACAGCTCCAAGCTGAGTTCATATTTTGCCTATTCTTTAATTCAGATGAGGAAATTCTCACGATACAGTGTAGGTTAAATGAATGGTTCCAAATATTTTTTTTCCAACTTTCCTTTCTCAAAATAGATGTTCAATAGAGAACCTTAATTTCTTTCTCCTTGAACCTTAATTACCCACATACATTCAGAAATCTGTTATCCTTCATCAAGAAACTACATATTTGACATCATTAACTACTTGAAACTCCAAATTCGGGGGCAGCACTATAATTGTTGTGTATGAAAACTTCTATAAAGAATCCAATATTCACGTTAGAAAAGTGAACATCATAAGGGGGCATAATGGAGAAAGTATTTAATATCCATAAACGTGACACAGCTTATTAATTATCAAATTTTAGTAATTACATTAGAGGTTTATATTAATATAGAGAGCAATATGAAGTATCTAACTTTTTTCAGCGCACATATTTGAATGACATCCTGTCAGTGAAAGCGGGGAATGATAAAAGTGATAAAAAGGAATTGTCCTCAATTATTTTTTTTTTATTTTGCTCTATACGAAAGAAACTTTACAAAAATGAAAAAATGAAATGGTCTGATTTTCATATTAAACACTTTATTAATAAATACACATGCAAAAAAGAGTTGTGTTATTTCATGAGATCACCAATTCATTCCCAATTTAGCTCTCAAGTGAGTATTTTGGCCAATTGACCCCTTTATTTTATATTTTTACACTAAAATTTTTTACCTTTAATCCACAAGGGAGTCATTATTCTACGGGGGTGAATCTTCTTCATGTGGCTTATGCATAATTTTAGGGATTTTAGGGTGATGATACTTTTTTCCTTCGAACAAAGGGGTCATTTTAAGACGTCGAATAATGACTGGTGGTCAATTTTCGACGTCGATAAATGACCTCCGGTCAATATGCTATGGGATCATTTTTCGTATTTACACCGTTGCTGACAAACTTCATGAGTTGTAAGAATTATTTTGATCAATGTTAGAATAGCCATTTTCATCAGTATTGGAATTTTTCTTAGAATCACTATCGAATTCTATATTTTAGTAGCGAACATTTCAATGAAAGCCTGTTTAAGACTTTCAAATGCAGTTCCTCATAATGAGAGGGTTGGCTCAATTGTCCAAGTTCTTGGTAACCTGCATTACTTTCTTCTGTGTCATTAATCGAGGGATTAATCAATAGTACAGGTTCTTGACAGTCTGTCCTTTCTTCAGTCCTTACCGGAGAAGTAACGTAGGCTTTTTTCGCTGAATTTTCCTCCTTATTTCCTTTGTTTAAGCTTTGTCTTTTGTAAAAAGCTCTTCTGGCATTTCTACAAGATAAAGGTATTTTATAAAATCACACTAAAGCATTGCAAAGTAAATTGGAACATTTACTTATGATTTAATTTCTTAAAAATGATCTGATAATTATGAAACTTTTTCAATAATGATGAAGATTAAACCCACCTGACAATTAGAAAAATGTTAAGCAGTATACTTAAAAAGAGAGCTGCAATAACTCCATACAGAGATGATATGACTATTTGGTTTGAATTGCGCTCTGGTCCCTGGTTGGTCGCTTAAAAGAAAACCAATATGTATATTTATGAACTGTTACCGGATTTTAAGTCCTTTTATTTATCTTTATAATTACCCTTATTAAAATTAATTTTGATTACAGTGCTTCCAAGAAGTAAACAGGGCTGCATCTATGTATGTGATCAAAATTACATGACACTATAATTGATAAAATCTTGATTGCAAATCTTAAATTATCTATCACAAATTAAAGTACTTTGCCTTTGTTTTACTTAATATATTTCCATTTCTATTTTTTCTGTGACAACTCTTTAAAAGTAAGGTGAGTTGATTTCTTGTTAATTTAATCGGAATGTTAATTTAGCCAATCGAAAGGTCAGGAGCTAAGCTTAGCCTAATATCTTTGTGTCTACCGTCAGTCGTCAAGGACTATTGAAATTGACATGGAAAGCTTCGTGAATTTTAAAACTATTAAACATTTTTAAAATCTAAATTTACAATTTTATGTCACAGAAAAATGGAAACGAAGGATTCACTGACAGGGAAACAATACTTAGAAAAATGGGATAATTTATGCATAAATTACTTTGCACGTTATACAAATTATCCCACGTTTCTCCCTTAATACATAAATTTCCTCCATTTTCATTAATCGTTGATGTCCCTAGCATACTCAAATAACTAGGCAATGATTCCCTAATTTAAAATTGAAGATATATATTTCCAATTTAAAGTGAAATGCCGAGTTACTTGTGTAAATATGTGAAAGGGTGTTTTTCATTGACAAAAGCTGTTCTCTAAATCGATAATTAGAGATATATCTGTTAAAAATAAGCTATATTTTAATGGTCTACTTTATTCAATGATCTTTCTTTATTGACCCTGTCTTCATCAATGTAAATTAATTCATCAACCTTGGTTATATTTCATAGATGAACACTAAATGTTTCAGTGATGTTGAGTAGGATTTTCCCCCGAATTTGAAATCTTACACTAAAGCCAAATCCCCCTCGTCTTTCCTAGAGTAGGATTCTGTATTGAGCCTAAAATCGAGCTCATATTTCTTGGCTTACTGTATCAACAAAAGTCTATTTATTTCTAATGAATATTAACGTGTCTAAGATTCATAAAAAAATTGGTTCAGTATGGAATTTAAAATATTACTTTTCATATCCAAATTTTAATTAATATAGGACATTGTAAAATAATGCTTTAATAAGGATATGGAGATAACGAACAGTATAAAATCTCAAAGTTCATTAAACAATACAAAATTGGAGCAGAGAAAACACGGACCTCCGAAACATCAGAGGTGGGATCAGGTGCCATGAGGAGTAAGCATCCCCTGCTGACCGGTCAAAATTATAGATAATATCTATTGACACAAAATTGGTACAATAATTTATTTTGCCTTTTACGGAGAGTATATGATCTTTGTATCTTTGCTTGGACGAAGGGTGTACTAAGAAATTATTTACTTTATATTATTGAAGGGTTCCCTATTTAATTTTTTTTCAATATTTGAATCAAAGAGATATTGAAATTTCTCTCTCTCTCTCTCTCTCTCTCTCTCTCTCTCAAACAAACAAACACTGCTCTTGAAAGACGAAGGAAAAAGCTTTTTTTTTCTTTTTGATACCAATGGTGTACACTAAATATTGAATTTAATATTTGATTGATTGATTGTGCTTGTACACCCCATTTGAGAATGTTTCACACCTAGATATCATAAGTGGAGGACTTCACATTTTGCCTTTACTCAGCACTAATGAGCATTGTACAGTGAAGGGCCTTTATCGAATCAAAGTCTATCATGACATGAGATTTCTCAAAGTTGGATGTGGAGAGGCGAACGATATTTGAATACATACCGATACCAAAAAGAACACGCTATCACGAGACTATTGTGACCGAAAATTTGAAAGGAGAGAGGAAATTCGCTAATAGAGTGTAGGACAATTCTATCTTTTTAGAAACAAATTTATTTAAATTAATTTTTTTTTATCTTGTTGTCAGTTGTCTAACCCATTAGATTGTACCAGAAGAGTTTTTGATTTATTTTTTTTTTAATGAAATAGATGAAAAAATAAGATTTAAATGTTTCGATTTACAGAATTCCTTGAGCGTTATTAGTTAGAATGATATTTCTTTGGACATATTTTGTATGATTCAATGGCACTGACTCTCATTTCCAAAATCGGAATAAAAAAATCAATTTCCGGGGTGGTGGTGGTGGTGGTGGTGGTGGTGGGGGGGGGGGGGGGGGAAGGAGGAAGTGGAAGTGAAAGTGGTTGGAAGGAAATGGTGTTATGTCCCCAAAATCAATTTTCCGGAGAAAATATTTTAGGAAGAAAAATCCCATTTTTCGAATACCACATGTATGTGTATATGAAGAATCAAAATTGGGATTTTCATAACTCTGTTCTTACATAAAAAAGCAATAAGATGTGATTCTTAATGAAGGTACTATTTAATATAATGTGGAGCGCATTTCTTAACAATTTTATGCGCCTAAATTTACATTGTGTTTACGAGGAATTTTATTCAAGAAAACACAAACAATTAATTTCAAGTGTTTTCTCTATGTTTCAAAAATGCAAGAAAATTCAAAAAGTAAATAAACTATCATTGCAGTACGGATTAATCCTTTCAACTGCACACCCTTCAGTACAAATTTTATCGAAAGTCGATGCAAGTTGTACTGAAGGGTGTGCAGTTGCATGTTATTCCTCCAGCACAATGTCCATTGCTCTTTTGATTGGTAATTTGACCCAAAGGTTCCGTTTTCACACTCTGCAATCCAAAAAAAAGAATTAATAATACGCATGTACCAAAGTTAACAAGCGTCATGAAGTACAGAAATACTTACATTCATTACATGTACATCTTTTATCACTTGTATTTTTCCATCCTCGTTCAAAGAGTCCAGAAGGACAGAGTCCTGTCACGTGATCACATGTTGCGTTGTTTGCGCATTGTCCACACAGAAAACTGCAGTTTTTTCCGTAGAAATTTGTCAAGCAAGCTGAAAATATATTCGCTTTCTACTTATTTGTCTGTCTTAGCTGACTTAAAAAATGTATTGAGCAAAAGTGAATATTTTCGATAGAAAATAAAATTGTTCAGTTATCCATCTCTGTTATTCTTTGGACACAGCATAAGCTATACAAGCACAGTTTTTTGTGGGGTGTGAAATTTCACTAAATTGACATCTATAAAGGTTTCGGGGACATTAAATTCGTTGTTCGAAAGTACATGTGTACCCTTTTGACTGAATAGTTGTATACATTTTTTTCGCCGATCGGATTCACTATCCTTGATAATTGTTTACATGATTGTATAACGAGGTAAACAAAATTTGATCTTTATTGAATATAAATTTTCTGATTTGACAAGCAGGTCAAAGTATGCACAAAGAATAAAAAAAAATACAATTACAATTTAAAACGTTCAACAAGATATACATCTACTTTAATTGCAGTAGGAATTTATCAAATTGGCTTCACATTCCAAAGACAAATTCGACTGACTTTGTTACAATTGTGCAGGGTATGTGGGTTATTACATATAATACAAGTTGTCAGTTGATTTTTTATTCTTTTAACAACTATTAGAATTCTTAAAGCTAAATTTGACATCATAAATTGTGAAATTTTGACAATATCGCACGTGAATATATACATGTACGTGACCTAATGTTTGCCTGTAGTTTTTCCACAGAAACCACATGGTAATTAGCATTCGAGATATTGCATGAAATACATAAGGGCACACATGTTTTAATATTTTTTTTTATGATAGAAACTGACCTTCCGGTGACTAATCCATCAAATTAGAAATATTTTTTTTTGCGATTTGTTACATGAATATTTATCCTTTACATTAAGAGTTTTTTATGCATTTTTTAAAATCATAACTAAACTAATGCATAAATGCGAGACCTAATCATTTGTTGGACTTAAATTTCTTTAAATCAGAATCGTGCGTTTACTTTCACTGCAGTAGTGATTTGTCCATCCATCTTCACAACCTCCGAGGCAGCTCCCATCAACTTTGTTGCACGATACTCCTTTTGCACAGTATCCACATCTGTGACTACATTATAACCCGTAAGTTCCTTCATCACATTCTGCAGTCAAATATGTACATTGATTTTAAAAACAGTGGGTGTCAAACTAAAGTATGAGAGTTATAAAAATGTTTATTTTAAAAAAAAAATAATTACATCAATACCTTCATTGCATCTTTGATCAAGTGTATATTTCCATCCTGGTTCACAGTATCCCGCAGGACAAGAACCATCCACCTGATCACATACTGCTTGTTTAGCACAGTGTCCACAGACAAGACTTTCTTCCGTAGAAACCTTCCCTGCATTCTAAATTTATTTTCTTATTTAATGTTTTGTCAGAAATGCATGCATCGGCTACAATCAACAACCAAGCCCCAAGACCATAAACTTAGAACAAATTTAAGACAAAATTTTGATTTTGAATATCTTGGGTTATATTAATTTTATGTACTTCAATATTTGAAAATTTATTTAATATTCCTATCTAAAGACATGAAAATTTTGATTTCTTATCAAGATTGCTTCAAAAGTTTTATTGACTTTATTTTAGTTATGTCTATTATCAGTTTATGGTCATGGGACCAGTTCTCACATCGCAAAGCAAATAACGCTTACAATCTGTTTTACTAATAAGACAAACAATTAAATGATAAGTCATAAGATTAACAGCTTTAGAATACAACTTTTACACATAACTGAGATACATTTTTTTCGCATATATGATAATATACCTTTACAGAATGGAGGAGGGAGACTATCAATTTTACATCCCTGTTCATCACATTCCCCGTTTATCATACAATCATTCTTACACTGGTCACAAGATATGCAATTTCCAACACTGTCCTGGTATGAACAACCTGTGTTTATACAGAAAATATTACGTTTACTGTTTATTTTCAATTAAACTGTATGTGTATGTTTATGTGCATCAAAATTTAACTCCCAAAAAACGATTTATAGGCGAGAGTATACGGTAGCTAGTATTCATAGAAAAAATGTTTTCGAAGTCGTAAATTAATCTTCTCGGAATGATTTCAAACTGACGAATTGCAAATATAATATTTCGCGAATCGGTTTGCTGTAGAGAAAGACCTACATATACCGTAAACATGAAAGACATACCGTAAATCTCCAGCTCACAGATCTCAAGAATAGCACCCCCATCAATATTCTTATTTGCGTATATCTTTACATATTGGGCTGTATGAAAACAATTCACTTCAAGCACTGTTTCAAGAGTAACATTTCCGGAATCCTGATAACAGGTGTCATTAACACTCCATCCTGAATTATTGGATACAAGTACTGAACATCCGCTCAGTCTTTTAGTACTGTACGCTCCACCTAAACATATCAGCATTAACACACTTCAATTAAATTGATTTTTTTAAAAAGGAAGAATAACTGTTCAAACAAAAAGAAATCCAATTAAACTTTTTTTTATGTTATGATATTCTCATATCTAAAAGATTTACTTCATCATGACTTTTACGACTTTCTATCAGCTTTTAAACTGATCAAATAACTGGATTTATTTCCAGAACAGGAAACGTTATCTATGAACCATGTATTCAATTCATTCTTTGCTTGTATAATTGCATCTCTCTAGTTCGAGTCAATTGATAAGAAAAACAACTAACGGTCATTCGAAAACTTTTCAAATTGAAGATGCTTCCCAGATCAATGTTTAACCAGTCCCCCGAATCTATTAAATTCCTTCTTTTTTTGTATAATTGCATTTCTCTAGCTCAGGTTAATTGTAAAAAAAACCAACTCACGGTCATTCCTGTACCAAATTCGAACACTTTTCAAATTGAAAACTCTACCGAGATCAATCTTTAACCAGGCCTCTGACTGACTGTCCTGGGGCCGTGTGCATACAAGCAACATAACTTTGATTGAAGTTCCTATCGATGGTTTTGAGCATGATGTTGAGATGATATTAGCTTTCTTTTTTTCTCTGTAATGCTTTAAATGTGAACCAAGACTTTGTATGATAAATTTACCTGAATAAAATAAAATGAAACGTGAAGAAAAACATTTTTTTTAACTTAAAGGTCAATGAACATTATGAAAATCATGTTTTTTGCATTAAGTTGAGTGTAACATTGAAAATTTCAACCCAAGAAAAACTGAAGCGAAGTCGAGGTCGACAAAGGTTTTGAAGGGATATAAACTTCAGTGTTACACTTCATTAGCCCAGTTTTGGGAATATGATACCACTGTAAGAAAGCGGCTGACCGAGTCATATATTTATGGTCATCAAAACATGTCGCCCAAGGTTCCCGGTAAGAATTTTTCATTCAAGATTTCAAACATTTGCTGGATTATCTGTAAAAATTGTTGCAAAATTTAAATGTACACTAATAAGACCTTGCTATTGATTACTATAAATAACTTGTTTTTTAGGGAAAAAAAACTGTAGTATGACCTCAAAGTTTTCTGCAAATGATGACCGTAAAAAAAATTAAGATTACCGTAATATAGATTTTTCCAATGAAGTAGAATGACCGTAATATACATAAATATAATTTAATGTATTAATTTTTCGTTTCTGTTTTAGAGACAGATATATCATGTTATTTTTGTTTTGAAAAAGACAAAGATGAAAATGTAATTTTGAACCAAAGCTGTGGCACGCCAAATTCACAAAAATAAGCAAAACATAATTTCACATTCGATAAACTAGGTTTATTACTTGTAAACTATAGTCTACGGACTGTACACTAAAGTCAATAGCGTTAATCTATATTTTTCATCTTAAAACTTTAGCAAATCATACTTTGTTGATTGTGTGTGTTACGATCATCATTGCCAAAAACTTTTAGGCCGTACTTAAGTTTTATATTCCTTAAAAATTGAATAAGTTATAATAACCAATAGAAAGTTCTCATTAGAGTTCATTTAAATTTTGCAAGAA